GCCAGTAAGATGATATTTTAAATTAATTGCTTCCTATGAAACAAAGAAAGAAAACTCCTCATTTTGATGTTCTGAGAGCATGTCATACTGCCATCTAGTAGAGGAGAAAGGTATAAACTGCACCGTAGAGGAAACACTGTCATTGCCAGGATTATATAGTCTTTGGGAGGGGAATTGTAAGGACATGTCTTTGCTACAAGGATTTCTATTCCTCTTCTGTGTAATTTTTTTTCCATGGTGCCTTTTTCAGTCACACTATAAATTTCTTCCCAAGAACAAAAAGCAACTGTCAGTGTCTCCCACAGCTGACATAATACATTAATTATGGTGTCACCATTCCCAGTGCTGCAGTTCGGGTTGAGCTATCACTTTCATTATAAATCCTTTTCTTCAGAGGGTTAGGTATAAATCATTTGTAAGAAATCACCGTTGGGTTACTACTAAGTTTTAGATTAGGGAGAATTTTCTACCAAACTTCAAAAGAGAAAAGTGTAATGAGTCATTTTTAAATGATGACTACAGAATCAGAGACATGGGAAGCGGTTCTTGGGTATGAATAATATTTATTTTCTTTTTAAATTCTGCTGGTATAAGACCTGAAATGTTTGAATGATAGCTATGCTGTACTACTTGGATAAACTATAAGCCCTGTACATTTTGTTTCCATAATCTAGAATTGTACCAATTCCTCAAAATGAAAATAATTCATCCACCAGCAACTGTAATTCTTCTTCCATAAAATAAATCTAGCTTCAGCTGCTAACCAAAGGAAATTTGTTGGTCCTTTAGGTAGTAGGGGTTGTGGCTCTGTTGCTCATCTGATTTCTCTGCTGTCATCTTTGGAGTTATTCCTGACTCACAGTGGTATAAAAGTCAGGAGAACCATGCCTGGTATTAGAAAAAGTTCGAATAAAACTGTATCAGAAACTTCAGGGGTAATTCATAAAGACTTTTTGCTGGGAAATCACTGTTGGTGCAACTTCACTTACCCAAAGCTTAGCGGAGTTCTAGACAGAGATGGATGTAGCAGTGTTAAGTTAAATCTAAATACGGGGAAGACAGCCTAATGGCCACTGAGCAAGCAAAGCCTTTGCCTGAAAGCCCCCCTGCCTTGTGTGCCAGAGGTGTTTTGTAAAATTCAGTTCTTTTAGAGGAGATTGGCCTTTGGCTGTGGAAGCCCTGTGCTGACACTGCTCAGATGCATTGTGCAAGAGCCCCAGGTAGAGAGGGCTTCCTCAGTTCCTCTGAGAATGAGAGAAAAATTCCCATACAAGAAAAATTCTAATGAGAGAAAAAAATTCATTCCTAAAAAGCAGTGGTAAGAAATTCCCTTTTTATTTGCAACCTTCACCCATCAAAAGGGCTGCACATTCAGGATATCTGCAAGAAGCAAAGTTACAGAGGCTTTTGCAGCCCAGACTTTGCGTTCCACCTGCAGAGGAATGCTTGATGCAGGCAATGGAGGAAGAGGAGGATGGGGACGGAAAGGGATGGGCTGGACGCATTTCCGCCACATCCTCCTCTCTACATTTCAGTGCTTGCAGATCTGTGGTTTTGGGGTTGTGGTTTAACCTCAGTCGGCAACTGAGCACCACCCAGCCACTCGCTCACTCCCCCTCCCCCTGGTGGGATGGGGGAGAGAATCAGAAGAGCACAAGTGAGAAAACTCGTAGGTTGAGATAAAAACAGTTTAATAATTGAAATAAAATAAAATACTACTACTAATAGTAATAATAAGAATAAGAATATACAAAGCAAGTGATGCACAGTGCAATTGCTCACCACACACCAAGTGATGCCCAGCCAGTCCCTGAGCAGCGGCCCCCTCGGCCAGCTTTCCCCAGTTTATGTACTGAGCATGACGTCCCATGGTGTGGAATGTCCCTCTGGCCAGTTTGGGTCAGCTGTCCTGGCTGTGCCCCCTCCCAGCTCCTTGTGCCCCTCCAGCCTTCTCAGTCGGTAGAGCATGGGAAGCTGAACAGTCCTTGACTAGTGTAAGCACTGCTTAGCAACAACTAAAACATCGGTGTGTTATCAACATTATTCTCATGCTAAATCCAAAACACAGCACTGTACCAGCTACTAGGAAGAAAATTAACTCTATCCCAGCTGAAACCAGGACAAGTGTGCAGGCAAAACACTGGGGTTTTGGTGCTTTAGGTGCCTGGCTGGAGAAGAGAGAGCAGCACGCAGCCAGGTGCTCCCTTCCTCGCACCATGGCTTCTTCCAGAAAGGAAAACCTGAGGTGGCAAGCTGGAAACATGACCTTTGGGAAGATTTCAGGATATGACTAGGCATATATTCGGTGTAAGAGAGTATTGCAAATTGTTGAAGTATTCATATAGGAGATTATGATAGCAAGAGTTCCTGAAATAGTCTACTGAAGCAAAACAAAACAGAACAAAACTAAACCCCCTCCTTTTTCCATTCAGATCCATGCTTATAAAGGATAAAAAGATTTTTTCTTTAAGAAACATATTAATAGAGGGCTAGTATGATTCACTCTTGAATATTGCATCCTTAAGACATGATGGGTGGCTCTTGGTTTATTAAAGTTGCCATAACCATTAAATTACTTATTCAGCTTTCTTCTCACTTGGCATGCAGACTGCGGCTACAAATAATTGCATGTTAGTTAGCTTTTCACATTTTTGTGAAAAGCTGCATTTCAAACTGTATTCTTGGACAAAATTCAAATTACACTGTTTTCTGCAACACAAAAATTGATTAGCAAAGCCTTGGGCAGTTGTCCTTGTTGCAAAGTCAAAAAGGAAATTTCAGGAGATATATCGGCAAAGGACGTTTGTTTAAAGTTTAGTTCTACAAATACTTTCAAAAAAGAAACTTCTTGAAACTATTGTGTACTTATTTTATAGGTGTCAGAAAACGTTGCTTTATTTTTTGCCATTTAAAAGTGTGATGTGCTGCCTTTTAATTGTTTGTGAGTATAGATGTTTTCATCATTTCTTTACACAATAGTTATGCTGCATTTACATATGTGTATAATATCTTAATATACATCATATGAATTAATCATTTATCTGAATTCTAATATGAATGGATTCAGCCTCTATTTATAATACCGGCTAGGAATAAACATCAAAATAGAAAAGCATAGTGTGCAACTCCAATGAAGTGAAATATTTTTAAGAAAAATGCTACAAAGTAATTTCCTGCGAGTAATAGCTTCCTTCTAAGGTTTTTCTATTTATTTGCACAGAAGCATCTCCGTTCAGCGTTGGGTATGGGTAACGGCACTGACACCCACATTGGAATAACACAGCCCTGAACTGGCAGACACCTATTTTGCAAAGATATTGAGGCAACTAATGTGTGTTTTCCTGTTGTATCACTTCATCATCTTAGAGGATGATGAATTAAAGTGTGTTCCTTAAAATATATTTCTCCCAGGAAGCTTGGCAGGCGGTTGAGACTGGCGTGGGTACATTGTGGCTAGTCGGGTTGTCAGGTTTCATTCTAAATGCTTTTTCGCAGTGCTTATATTTACAGAAGTTTAATCTTTCAGACAGCAATATTCTGGGTAAGCCTTGTGCTAATAGGGAGCTTTTCTAACCTTGAACACAGAAGATTTGTTCTTTTTCTGGAAAGGTCATAGGGAAGGCGCCAGGCTTCTTTGTCTTTAAAATACTCTTGCAATTTTTCTGTTGTTTGGTTGGTTTTTGTTTCTTTACACTAGAGCAAGGTCTAACCTGGGACTGAAACCACAGGGTGAAGTTTTGGGAAAGCTCTGGGGAATAAATACACCCATAGAGAAACTTTGATTCCAAATCATCCTTCCCCAAAACAAGTGTGTGGGGCTCTGGCTATAGAGTTCTCTAACCCCAAAACACATAGGCAAATCGGGTTTAGCCACAGCATCTCATCAGAAAGGGTGCAGAGGGTCAAGGCTGTCCCTGGTGGTGTCAGGTCAAAGCCACTCTTGCCCAGCATGTGGCTCCACCAGCATTGCTGGATGAGTTCCATGCTCTCTGCACACATCCTGGGGAGACACAGAGGTCTCTGTTGTTTGGGCTGGACTCACGTTTGTGGGTCTCCATGGTCTCAAAAAGGGATTTCCTAAATAGCCAAGCAACAAACCACCTCTTAAATTCAGTAGTGTTTCTGCAACTGGGAGAGTGATGGGGTAAGAATAATGACAAGTAACCAAACCCCATGACCTTGTGTAGCTTTCTGTGGTTGTAAGAGTTAACCAGTGGAGTTTGTGTAATGGTGCTAAAAGAAGTAGAGGAAAGTAAATGAGAAGAAAAGTGATTTTCTTGAGTGACACGGTGAGACATTAAATAGAGAATATTTAATTGCCTTTATTATGAATAGCTGTCGTTGTAATGCAAGAGAGGAAATAAAGTGGCTGAGATTCTTCTTAAAGCTATTTGTTCTCCATTTCCAATTTACCAGTCCATTACTGTGTTTGAGCTAGTTAAGAGCAATTACACACAGGAAATCCTGGCTGATTAATATGGACCAAACTGCTAAGTCTTCTGAACAACAATTAGGGCTTAGAGACTTTTATGGCTGGTAAAACATTTCCCCACCAGCCACTATTACCTATTTTGCAGTTAAAGGAATGCATTTTTATAATGCTGAGAGCTGCAAAGAATTAATCATCATTGCAATTAGAGCAGGCCCAACTATTTTTTTTAGAGTAGTTTATGTGGGGAGTTTAGTATTTCTTTTCACCCTGCCTGTTGCCGTAGGTCTCATGGGAGTAGTGGGACCAAAGAGACCTCGGAAAGACTCAGTCCAAACCCTGGACTTTGTGTTTAGAGCATGAATGAAGTAAAAAAGCTTTATTTATAGAAAGCAGCATATTATTATTGTTGTTGTTACTATTTTTTACTATTTGTCCAAGCCTGATTATAATGTGGAATGAACAAGTTTGTACTTATGGCTCCAATTACAACCTCATACTGC